TTATGAAAACGCCAAAATTTTAAAAAATTTTCAAGGCAATAGCCCATGGTTTTTTCCAAAAAATGGCTCCGAAATCACCCCAAATTTTTATTATATTTTCTGATACATATTGATGTCCTTATACTGTGTAGAAGTTTGAGCTGATTCCGGCTTCAATTTTTCAAGCTACGGCCATTTTATGAAAACGCCAAAATTTTAAAAAATTTTCAAGGCAATAGCCCATGGTTTTTTCCAAAAAATGGCTCCGAAATCACCCCAAATTTTTATTATATTTTCTGATACATATTGATGTCCTGATGCTGTGTAGAATGTTTGAGCCAATTCCAACAAATATTTGCTGAGTTATTAGAATTTGATATGGTACAATAGCAATAACTGTTATTGTTAAAACATACCAGCATTGCATCATTAGTTTATACATTGGTTTAGGACATCCTGGAGGAGGTGGTAATCTATAGCCTGAATCAACCAGTCTAATGCACTAAAATTAGTAAAATAAAGTAAAATTTAAAAGTTTATAAGTATAATAATATACTTCTTGATTAGTAGAGTTTTCAAATGGTTTATGTCCTAAAGACCAAATCTCATACATTACAGCTCCATAACTCCACACATCACTAGCACTCGAATATTTTTTATAATGTAATACGGTGGCCCAAAGCGACATTTCCTGTCCACAAGTGTCGTTTCCTGTTCACAAGTATCGGTTTCTTTCATTTTCCTGTTCATGAACACATGTGTTGGCACGTGGTGGTCACGTGATCAAAGGAAAAGAAAGGCACGGGCGATTTGTTGTTTAGCTCGAAGTTTAGCTAGTTATCGAGCTAGTTGTAGTTCTTTGATAAAGTGAAAGGCTCTACAGACTACAGGACTAGTCCCATAATGGATTCTGAGCAGACTGAGCGTGAGTATTTTAGAGAGAGGCTTGCCGGAATGGGGATGACAAGCGCTAGCATTAAAATCATGGAGGAGGAAGGGATAGTAAGTGAGGGCATTCTCAAATCTCTCAGGAGAGAGCACATTAATAAGCTGTTGCCACTAATGAAAGTTGGGCAGCATGTGCTGCTTTATAGTATTTGGGATGATGGACCTCAGGTAATTATTAGCTCAGTGTGATATCCTAACT